ACCCACTTTTCTGTTGTCCATCCCTCAGGGAGGAGGTTATATGTAGATCCTTGTAATCGGTTCCCCCTTTCCACCACACCTTCCCTCCACCTTCCCAGTTTTGCCAACTCTCACCACTGGTCATGAAGGGATCATCCGTCCTGGATTCCCTATTTTTCCAGCTCTTTTCTGTACCAGTGTACATCCTCTGGTCTAGCCAGATTTGTAAGGTAGAATTCGGATCATGATAGTGGGAGGGAGGAAGCATTAAAGAACTAGAGGAAAATTGTATGTTTCATATTTGCTGCCCTGTACCCTGACTGGCTCGTCTCCTCCCTGAGACCCTTCCATAAGGGGGTGTCCAGTTGCCTACAGATGGGCTTTGAGTCTCTACTCCGCACTCCCCCTCATTCACAACGATATGATTTTTTGTTCTTTGATGCCCAATACCTGATCCTTTTGACACCTTGTGATCACACAGTCTGGTATCCTTCTTCCATGTGGACTTTGTTGCTTCTCAGCTAGATGGATGCTTGTTTATCACAATTAAGTGTTCTAATTGTTCCCATCTTCACAATGCTATCTATAATTTGTTATGATCGACATAGTCCAATGCCTTTCCACATTCAACAAAACACAGGTAAACAGCTTTCTGGTATTCAGCCAAGAAATACTGGTGTTTCTGGTATTCTGCTTTCAGCCAAGTTCCAGCAATTATCATTGTTCTTTCTTTTATGGCTTCTTCTGAATCCAGCTTGAATTTCTGGCTGCTCTTTGTCAATGTACTGCTGTAACTATTTTTTAATTATCTTCAGCAAAGTTTTACTTGCATATGCTATTGATGATTGTTTGATAGGATCTACATTCTCTTGTATCACCTCTGGAGCAGGTATACATATGGATCTCTTCCAGTTGGTGGGCCAGAGAGCTGTTTTCTGTATTTTTTGACATCAGCATGTGAGCATTTCCAGTGTTGCAATCCTTTATTGAAACATCCCAATGGGTACCCCATCAATTCCTGGGGCCTTGTTCCTTGCCATTGCCATAAGTGCAGCTTGGACTTTGTTCTTTCAGTACCATTAGTTCTTGATCACACACGACCTGAAATGGTTGAATGTGTACCAATTCTTTTCGGTTCCTAGTTTGCACGTGTTGGCATGACAGAAGTGAATCATTTTCTCATTGTTCTAGTGGTTAAAAGTCCAACCAGGGCCTCAGGCATGATGACTGTTCCTGCACAACTCTGTCCTAGTTCCCGGTGGCTAGCTCCTTGGAATTCCTTGGAGGATTTCTTCCGCCTGAGTTTGTCTCGAGTTTATTCTGCTCCTTGGTTATCTCAGGGGTGATTAGGTTTTATATCCACTATACTCAGCCACATAACAAAAGATAACCACTACTTTCACACAGGGCCATATTTATAGCAACAGGGATCAGAGTTTCCACACATCTTTGGGGAAGGAAGGACCACAATTCAACTTAACAAGGACTTAAATCATTTTCACAAAAGTACTTCAGAACAGGAGCTGTTTAAGAAGTGGCAGTACCTGGGCAGATGATTCTGGTATTGAGCACGGGGAGGCTTTCTTTGCCGGCTGCCACAGGTGGGCCAGAGCTGGAGGAGTCCGTCTGGGATAAAGTCTGACTTGCCCGACCATCTGGAGACCGAGGTGCAGTTTTAACTGTAGGCAAAACGTCCTTATTAAAAGGAGGTCATGATGAAGTTACAAAGATAAGTGAGCCCTGTACGATTGTACCATAAAAGCATGCAGTATAAGTTTAAATCCATCAGCGGAACAAAAAATATTACATCGTGCGTCTTTAAATTTACCATAGGGAGAAACTCTCCCACAAGGTGATATCTAAATACTATACTAAATACTATATAATACTATATAAATACTAAATACTATATCAACACTTAAGAGGGGTCTACACAATTTCAAGTTAGCAATATTCATAATTAGAATACGATCAAGCCACACTGAATAAAAAATAGAAATCCTGAGGCCTGATGATAGTTGAAAATTGAACATGTTTTAGAGTGTATACTACTAACACACTATTGTTCTTCTCAACACCGTGTGAACGATCAAATTTAATTAATGAGATTTCCAGAACATGTGAACGAGTGGTGTTTTCTTCTATAATGGAAGGGGAAAATGATTTATTGTCACATGAAACCAATATGCTCTTCGGCACTGTTTAATTAATTAATCAAAGCAATAATTTTCCCCAAACTCTTCTTTGATAGCTCTTATACAACCTCAATTCATTTTGCAAATTACTTTTAATACAATTGCTCTCAAAGTAAACAACAAAAAGGAAGAGCTAATTTGACACAATCTAGGCCAATTTAATGCTGAGCAAATAGTACCTTAAACTAATTTAGGATTAACTGGAAGGTGATTTCAAAAAAAAAAAAAAGGTCCAGTAATACTCAAACTCAATTGAAAATATTCTAAAATGTAATTAATTTTACTCTCCCTAATTAGAAATTCAATTATTTTTACACTCTATTCTCTCTGTTCAAAAGCAGCCCAGCTGCACTAAAGCAAAGCAGGGCACCAGCCTCTCTTTTCTTTGACAGATGGTGCTCCTGGGGCTGCTTTCTAATGAAAACAATCGTGTGATGTTCACCTCTGATCAAAAACAGAACGGGGCCTCAGGACGGAGACTGATGTTCCCTGGCAGGTAAGTGAATTACTGTCTCCTGCTCCTTGAATAAACATCTCATTGACCATATTCAGATACTGTATTTCACACGTCTCTCACATATGAATTAAAATGTAACTTAATAATAACACAATGAGGATGTTTCACAAATCATGACTATCTAGTACAGGAACACTTGTGCGAGTGCTACCGAGTCTAAGTAAATTGAATTACTGGCCAAAATAAAATCTAATACTGCATATTTTAAAAAGTCTGTCCATTTTCAATACCATTATAAATATCTCTATATCCTTAGTTTCCTTTAGAGACTACAATGGAAGTGAAGTTTATAAGTGTAGGATAAAGAGGAACAGTAGCTGGATGGAAAATTATTAGCAGTGGGTAATTAACGCCCCCGCCCCCAGCCGCCCCTAGAGAGCCATCGCTTACAGGGGCGGCTTCATCAAGCAGCCTGTGTACAGACCTCATCGTGAGGCCATTGTAGTGACTTTTCTTCAGAGGGTGAGACCCAGAAGCCCTCCTCCACAAATGCTGAGCTGACCTACACTGGAGATGACAGAATTATGCACCCAAATATTTTGACAGAATGGAAGGCTGGGTTCAAATGGAAAAGATAAAATCCACAGAGATGTGTAAACTGAGAGGATTAGGTTTTGACAACTTTGTGGGGACAGAAACAGGTGGAGGATGAGTCCAAGCTCCTAGTACTGAAAGCTGCAAGAAATCAGTCTCAGGTCACCTGAGCAACATCAGCAATGGCCAAAGTCCAGAATGATCCCATTCACACAGGGAGAGAGAGAGAGAGAGAGGAGACCTTATGCACCAAGCCCTGAGGGCGACGTTCCTGCTCCAAGCAACTAGTTCCCAGAGGACTACACGGCTGGCCCCAGCTCTAGACATGGGCGTCTCCTCCCTAGATCACATGGCCATAGAGGTCGGCACTGAAGATACGGGGAGTAGGGCCTGTCCGAGCTCCCCGCACGGGGCAAACCAAGAGAGGAGAACAAGAGATCGGGCACGGGAACAGAGCCACGAAGCCTCAGAGGAATCAGGAAAGTAGACTCCTGACTAGGGGACCCCAGCACTCGCCACCTCATCTGAACTGGCTGGGGGATGGTCACAAAGGTCAGCAGGGGACCTGGAACTATTTATCCACCTTTATGCGTTGCTGCTTTTCCCTTTCTTTCTGATGTCTATCTGTGTAAGACAGACAGGGCAAGCAATCTCAAGGAGACCACCCATGTTCCAGGCGGACATTGGGGGTGGGGGGAAGGGAGCGGGGTGTGGTGAGACAGTACGTCAGGAACAGGGGAGTAAAGTAAGGGACCTACAACTGAAGGCAAGGAGGGTGTCGTGTTCCTAGGGATGTTTGATCAATTGGGATGAACCTGAGAGGAATTACTGAGAGGCATACAATGGGGGAACATGATAGTGGGGCAGGAGGAAAGAAAAAATAAATAGAAGAAACAACTAGGGAGTTAAAGATTGTGTATATGGGTATAAATACAAATATGTATATATGCAAAGATATAAATATAGGTGTATTTTTATGTGTGTGTATATGCATGAGTAAATATAATAAGGAAGCAGACAGACTTTGGGCCTCTACTTAAATCCTACCTCAGTACAAGAACGGTCTGTTCTAAGAATGTGGCAATGTATGATATCTATCTTTCTGACATGATCACTGAAGACAAAATGGGTGCATAAAAACAATTGTGTTGAAGAAAGCTGACAGTGCCCGGTTATTAAAAGATATAGCATCTGGTGTCTTAAAGGCCTGACATTAAACAAGTGACCATCTAGCAGGGAAGCAACAAAGCCCACTTGGAAGAAGCATGCCAGCCTGTCTGATCATGAGGTATTGATGGGAATAGGTATCAGAAGTTCAAAAACAAGTAATCAAACTGAAGTGCAGGGGCACAGGCAAGGTGGAGACCTAAAGCCCACCTGTAAGACAACTGGACAGTTGGACAGCCCCTCACGGAAAGGCCATAGGAAAGAGACGATTTATCAAGGGTGCAATAGCAATAGAACACTGATGAAACATAACAACTACCCTCTCGTTCTCCTCCCACTATTAAGGCCTTACTTTCACCTCACGAATCTTGCTAGATCTGCATATGCACATTGTACAATCAAGATTTCTGATGCATGAAAGTCCAGACAGATGAACCCCTCAAACACAGTAAGGGGAGTAATGACTCCCTGAGGATACGGGAAGAGAGTGAGGGAAAGCGGGGAAGGAGGAACTGATGAGCAACGATGACTGTTATAACCCCCCTCAAAAGGAGCAGGCACCAGAATTTTAGGTGATTGGATACATGGGATGGTGGAAGTTATGGCAAAAAAAGAAACAATAATAATATTATATATTGAGGGTTCAGGGGGGTGGTAAGGGGAGGGGAAGGAGGAGATAAAGAGGAGCTGATATCAAGGAGTTCAAGAAGAAAAGAAAATGTATTGAAAATGATGATGGCAGCAATTGTATAATTAGACTTGATCTAATGGAACTATAAACTGTAATAATATCTGTAAGAGCTCTCAATAAAATGTTTTTAAAAAGTCCAGAATGAGTGGTGCATGGGTATCAATGTGCAATCTGTCACACTAGAGAAAATAGCTGGGAGAACCTTCTTCAATGTGGGGCATCATTTGAACACTGACCAGAAAACAAAAGACCTGACGCATCATTAAGTAAAGCCTGGTGGAGGCACTCAGGACAGAAAGCCTAATCGGAAGGCAGATGGAAGGTCTGAGGGGTGGGAGGGGGCTGTAATGCCACAAGAGCTGCTTCCAGCCTCATTTAAGGGCTGCCAAGAGGAGGAGGAAGAAGACACAGCTCCAGAAGGCAAAGCTATCTTCAATATAGCAAAATAATGCATGTGAAATTGCTTTTTAAACTACTATCAAGCACTACAACAGAGCCCTGGTGGCGTAGTGGGTTCTACATTGGACGGCCAACAGTTCGAAACCACCATGAGTATAAGATGAGGCTTTCCAAGCCCAGAAAGAGTTATAGTTATCAGGAACTCACAGGGCAGTTCTACCCTGTCCTATAGGGTCACTATGAGTCAGAACTGACTTGATGGCAGTCTGATATAGCACTATATAAATGCAGGTGACATAAAATCTTATTAATAATAACTGACTATAATCATGGGAATATAAAAATGAAATAAAGTTTAAGATAAATAACTTTTGAACAAATACAGCTGGCCATAAGTTGGGAATGTATTTAAAAGAGTGACCTAAGAGTTCAATTGACAATGTGGCGGCAACAATGGCCTCCCATGACACCACTGTGAGGATGCCACGCGGGGCAGCGCTTCCTTCTGTCGTGCACAGGGTTGCTATGGGCCGAAACTGACTCGATGGCAGCGGACAAAGGCTCAATGCCCACGTGTCGAGAGGGCTCTAAAATACATGTCAAGAGGAGCCTAGCAGGTCTAACAAGCCTACAGTTATAGAACATGTCCGTGTTACCCTGTGTTCTGGGACACGGGCAGATGAGCCCAAGTGGGCATATTCCAGAACCGAAGAATATGGTTAGGCCTTATGTGTGTCTACGTATTATTACTTATATTCTATAACTTTCCCATTCCATTATCTTTCAATCACATATTCCAGCGAACTTTGCAGAGCACCCTTGCATGACGTCTAAAACATCTAAGGCAATACTGCCCCATGTGGGGGGGTGGGGTGGCTGGAGTGACTCGGGGGGCTGAAGCAGTTTACTCAGCACCTACGGTTTATTCTGAATTAGGGGCTATAGTCCAAACATTTGTAATTGCTAGAGAAGAGTTGAATTTTTTTTTTTTTTCTGGCCAAGTAAGTTTGGGAAGCAGTGTTGAAGTCCTACAATGTACATGGCATTAGGTCTATGCTAGACATTTGGAGTTTACAACTAAGGCATATTCTCTCCGAGTTCATGTAATTAATAGCTGCAGGAGAACTGACAATAATGATAAGATGGTAAACCCATTTCTATTGCACCAGGCACTTTCCTAGCATCTTACATGTATGAATGGCTTCCTGGGACAACCTTATGAAGAAGTACATGTACGATTCCTTTTTACAGACGCGGGAACCCCAAGGAAGTAAAATAATGTGACCAAGTTTGCATGTGATGGGGGGAAAAAAGCAAAAAATTAAATGATGGCAAAGAATTCTGCAGTGCTGCCTTTTGTTGGTGCTCTGTAATGATCTTCATGTGTTTTCTTCTCATTATTTTATCTTCCAAGCTTTCAACGCCATCCTCTTAGTAAGCCTTCCTTATACAATAGAAAATATTAAAAGTATCAATTCACCTTCAATGAAAGCCTAAAAAAAGCAGCGGAAGTTAATATGCCCCACACAGCTACATATTTCATTGTAACGAGAAGTCCTGCCATTCTAAAGCTTTTTAAGCTAGAATATTGAGGGCAGGGATTCCAGATGGCGCTCGGTCTTTTCAGTGGTGCACCAACTTGTATGGATGGGGTGTGCAGTTCTCAGAGAGATCTGATGAAGGCGTCCCTCCTCTCTGTCGTGGGGAACATTAAGCTATTTGTAGTCTCGTTTGTTCCTGCAATCTGTTGGTTATTACTACGAGCGTTAGAATATATGATTAAAAACTATGACAGTGACAATTATCTGCATGCAAATATACTCAGTTGTTTACTATTATAGCATTCCTGAATATCTAAGCATTTTTTTTAAGAGGCTTGCTGGAAATCAAAGTAAAAAGAGTTTACTTCCAGCAGAAATAAACATCCCTTTAGACACAGAGAAGCAGCAGCACCCTCTATGGTGTGGGTGTTCTCTTACCAGGTCCCGGCTCTTGGGCCTCATCTTCCCTGCATTCCTCTTTAGGGTCCGCTGTTTCTGGGGGATCACATTCGGGTGACTGCGGACATGGGCCACAGGGGGGAGCTGTGTGGTCATCCGTCGCTTTAAGCCAGAAGAAGGCAAATATGTTTGGGCAGAGAAAATACACTCTATGAATACGGTGAGATGTTTGGGAAAGGAAAACTGAAACCTATCCAAAGAAATTTTGCATTCACAAAGAAGTACTGTGTAGCAATAAACTTGGGCTGCTGGGTGTCAGCACCAGGCGTTAGAAAATTAAATGAAGTTGTCAGAGTGATATTTTTTAACAGAATTTTAAAAAGAAATACACTTTATAGGAATTTCAGAAAATGAAATGCACGTCTTTAAAATAGAGATATTACAAACTAGTTTTCAATTTTAGCTTAAGGTTTCAAGTGTACTTTCAGCACACAGGAGATTTTGTTTTATGCATCACTAATATGCTGATCCTTACTGCTAAATCAAGTACAAATGTCATTGCAATGACTGTTTTCTATGTTGACTTCAGAAACTTTTTTTTTTAAAGCGTGTGCAGCCTGACTCATAGAAAACTCAATTCCCGTTGCTACCCGAAGGCTGAGAAATCACCCAACTGCACACTTGCTTCTTGCGTTTGAGTACCTTTCTCGACTTGTTCAATGACTTGCCTCACGGCCTTCTTTAAGCTGTTTGCCCTCAACATGATGAGCGTGGGCTTGGCGGCTTTCTGCGAGGGCGTGGCGCTGTCTGCAAGGTGCTCCTTGGTGTCACGCAAGGATTCTTCGCTGGAAAATTCCGCAGGGTCCTCTTCAGCAATGACTGAGCCCACACACGGGGGCGCCGGATGATCCTTCTGCACGGCCTGCAGCAGCTGGCCCAGCTTCTCATTCAGGACCGAACACTGGGAGGCGGGCAGAGCGACAGGGAAGGGACAGGGGGTTAAAATGCAGTAGCTCATCATTCGATCTTCCTGTGGACCCACTTTAAAGTGATTTCAGTTAAAAAAAGAAATTGATGGGGGAAATACACGTGAATTAAGCTCCTGGTGAATCCCCCTCTAACCAGGGACCAGGGACGCATGCATCGGGTGGTATCCTAGTCTTTGATCTCCCTTTGGATCCATTTAAATTTGTTATAGTTCTTATTATTTCCTGCTTTCTTTTTGATTGAGTTTTTATGTTTTCCTTTGTTACTGTTGTTGTTTTTTTAAAATGTTTTTCTGTATATGAAATACAGGATAGGCTATCTACAGGCAGAAGTCAATCAATGGCTTCATGGGGGTTATGACAGGGGAGGTGGAGGGGAAATGAGACGCTAACAACGACGAGAATAAGAATGAAGGAAACGTTCTACAAGGGATTGTGGTAGTGAGCATACAACTCTTCTCGATGCCACCGAACTATCAAATTGTATGAGATGTGAGTTACATGCCAGTAAAACTGCTGAGGGGGAAAAAAGAGAAAAGACGATCAGCATGGGCTACACAAGGCCCTTTGAAGTAATTTGTTTTGAGAGTTTCACTACTAGGGAGAAACACTAACGTTCACATGTTCATTAGCCTTCTAATTTTAGAGATCATCTAGTTCAGGAATTACCTAACGTGAAATTCTAGATTTGAGAGGTGGGGAAATGCTTATTTTACATTAACATACAGAGGGTGGGTGTTTAATGCATTTGGCTGCTGATCTAAAGGTTGGAGGTCCAACTTCTCCTAGAGGTGCCTCAGAAGAAAGGCCTGGTGATCCCTCTGAGACACTCAGTCATTGAGCACCCTAGGGGGCACCGTCCTCTCCAGACACACATAGGGGGCGCCATGAGCTGGAGTCCACTGGATGGGAACTGGAAGGAAGGAGGAATGTATAAGCAGGAAAGAAGCCTGTGGGAGTGCTCCTGACTATTATAACTACGCTTTAGGAAACTATTTGGAGGCTAAATAATTTATAACCTTGAGGAAACAACCAAAAAAGCACAATTTTCATGTGAATGGCATTGATTTATACTTCCAGAAGCAGTCAGACTCTACTGGATGTGTAAATGTATAATCATTACACAGGTGTTTTTCCTTATGAAAAAAACAAAAAAGAGTGCAGGGAGGGTGGGGTACAAAGGGGGAACCAATTACAGGGATCTACATGTGACCTCCTCCCTGGGGGACGGACAACAGAAAAGTGGGTGAAGGGAGACGTCGACAGGGTAAGATATGACGAAATAATAATGTATAAATTAACAAGGGCTCATGAGGGAGGGCGGAGCAGGGAAGGAGGGAAAAAATGAGGAGCTGATTCCAGGGGCTTAAGTGGAGAGCAAATGATGAGGGCAACGAATGTACAAATGTGCTTTACACAATGGATGTATGTATAGATTGTTATAGGAGTTGTATGAGCCCCTAATAAAATGATTAAAAAAAAAAGAATCAATTTTTTTACTATGAAGCCACACATCACCCAAAAAGTATACATTACCCGAAATTACCATCGATCGCACAAAAAACCAGGTAACTTTTTAATAAAAAAAGCAGTCCGTGTGTGGAACCATTTTGGGCATCCTAACCTGGAGGTGAGCTTGCGCTCAGAGTGCTGGTTTGCAAAGGAGGTGACGGCCCTACAGGGGTTACGGGCTCCAAGAAAGAGGAAGCAGGAGAGGCATGAGGGGACAGAGGAGAGAAATGCAAACAAGCCCTCTGCTCTTGACTTTCTTTCTCTTTTAAACTTTTATTATGAGGGGTAAAAAAGCATTTAGGTCTGATGCCCTTGCTGCTGCCCTTAATGTACCTTTATCGCCACACAACTTCCAGCTCTTTCTTCTTCTATGTATTTGCCTTTGATGAGATGCCAAGACAAAGTTACAGCAGAAATAGTCCGGCGGAAAAAAGTGGGGCTCGATTGGGTTTCTTCTTCCTGAAACCCTTCCCGGAGTAGAACAACAACAGAAAGAGGCTGAAATTCTATTTTCTTTTCCTTCCACTCAATTAAACCACCATGGGTAGACGGACCCGGGGGAGCTAATTCCTTTGTGAGCCCACTGTAACTAGGCCTCTCCTGAGCATGTCCTGTCATGAACTTAGGCAAAGCAAAGTCAGTAGCTTTTAAGGTTCAGGCAAATGGTCAAAGCTTAGCCCCAGACAGCACAAGAAGGGGGAAAACGTCAAGACACAGAACCCTGAAGAGGGCAGAAGGCCATAGCGCTGACCGAGAAAGCCAAACGTGAGGTCATCGGGTTGATTCTGACTTATAGCAAAGTGGCAGGGCAGACTAGACTGCCCCTGTGGGTGGCCAAACCTGAATCTTTACACGACAGCCTCATCTCTCTTCCTTGGAGTGGCCGGTGGTTTCGAACTGCTGATGTGGTTAGCAACTCACTACATAACTCACTACTCCTCCCAGCTTCCCAGCGAGTCTGAGGTATTGTAACGATGGCACTGGAGATGGATGTCCCCACGGCATCCTTCTGTGACCTTGATGATGGGCATGTCAGTTAGAGGAGAAGGGGGTCAAGCTACAAAAATCAACCTGTCGATGATTTTCAACAAAGCAACTTTCCTCCCTATTTCAGCATAGGCATAAAACAGAATATGAATGAAAGGAAAAAAATTCTGATGATTTTCAACAAAGCAACTTTCCTCCCTATTTCAGCATAGGCATAAAACAGAATATGAATGAAAGGAAAAAAATTCTATCTGTTCAAAAGTAATTTTTCTCTTGATTTAATAAGCTCTTCGGCAGAAAAACGACTTCATCAGTTTAGCACTACAGTGAAATGCAGGCCAGCATTAACAACTGTCGTCAAACCCCTGGATACCCAGAATGTGTCCCTCTTACTTTACTGGCCATGTCTGCATCATCAGGGCTCTCCAGCGCTTTCCCATATTCCTTCTCGATTTTGGCCACGAAGTCCTTTACAGTTTCACATAATATGCTTCAAGGAAAAGAAACGGTACACGTCAGTAAACTTGGTCGGTTCATTTCCTTTGAATTGTAAGCATAGTTACAGATGTCCAGAAGGGCAGCTGGACAGACTTCGGCAATGTCTGTGACACTTGTATATACATTAACTCCATGCATCTTCTGGCTGTGTAACAAGTCCTGGGTAAGTTCTAGACCAGTGGTTCTCCACCTTCCTACTGCCGTGGCCCTTTAATGCAGTTCCTCATGTGGTGGTGACCCCCCAACCATAACATTATTTTTGTTGCTACTTCATAACTGTAATTCTGCTAGTTATGAATTGAACGACCCCTGTGAAAGGGTCATTCGACCACCAAAGAGGTCACTACCCGTAGGCTGAGAACCGCTGTTCTAGACCATATCAGGGTAAAAAAAGAAACTTTTCATGAATTAAATAAAGCAAAGCCTTTCTTTTAACTATTTAAATTCTTGAGAAGAGTACTTTTAGATGGTATTGACAGAACATTATTTCCTACAGCTCTGTAGAAGGAGGGCATGTTGTCACTGCTGCTTTACTGTTAATTATCACCTGGGTATCCCGGCAATACATAGGTGTTTCCCACCATCTGAAAGCAGAGCCTTCCTATGAAATTTTTCCTAAGCCAAAATGGTATAAAATGAGGAAGCAATTACCATTCATTTCTATGGGAAACATTTTTGAACCGTCCAAGACACCCCACCCCTCCGGCCAAATTCCCTACCAAATAACACATAGAACTTGACTCAACACTAGCCTCACTGTGCAGTCACGGTCAAAGCCACGGCGGCTGAGTACACTTAGTTCCTGGAGAAGGAGTGTGCGATACAGAAAGGTTTTCTCCCAGGTTTCCCACCCAACATTGTATACCAAACCTAAGACGCTGCTCGCAACACACGGTAAACGACTGTACACTGAGAGGTCAGGTGCTTAACGGTCATCTCCGTGCGGGTACGGCCACCAGACTCTATAGTCCGGCCCACTCCCTGCTGATAAGGATAGTGGATTGCTCCCCTTCTGAAGGAGAGCCCAAAGACAAGGTCAAGCCAACTCAAGGTGGACCAAGATTAAGCTGCCATCTTGAATCTAGGGTCCGCCCATCTTGTCACACGTGAACCTCTAGTGCCTCCCTTTCCTATTGCATGTACGCCCCTCGTTCACCCCCCTGCTACTGCATATATGCCTATGGTACAACCCTTCCTGGTTATGATGAAATTAGGGGGCTTGCATGTCCACGAAAATGTATATACGCCGTGATTGGAAATATATTCTCTCTCTGCGTGGACCTGGCTGCGGCGATCATGGCCGTCCAGAGGTGATCATTCGCACTCCATAGCTTGTCTGTCTCTTTAATTTCACCCCTCAATTACACAACCACCTCTTGGACCCGTTCGATTGTGCGGGCTGGTACCCTGCAAAGGAGCTCCGTGAGGAACGCTGCTTCTCTAAGTGCTAAATGCTACTTTTGCTCTATTCACCCCTCCCCCTTTGTTTTCTATAAAGCGAGACCCTCTCTGGATTTCTTTCGGTTAGCAGGAACAGGTATTACTCCAGAGCTTTTGTAAACGGGAAGCAGAGTAAAGCCAATTTTCATAATGGGGCTGGGGGGGGAGGGGGGTAGGTTCCCCGAAGGGGAAAGTGGTTGTGTATTGTCCTGAGACCCAACCAGCCATTTGAGTTGAATTATAGTCTCTGAAAAAAAATAATTCATTTGTCCCCCCCTTTAGATAACCAGTACAACATAATGCAAAACAAATTTATTTAGATCTTCTTATTAGCAATGTATAGTTTACCATACTCGAGTATAAGCTGACCCGAATATCAGCCGAGGCACCTAATTTTACCACAAAAATTGCATTAAAAATGTGCTGAAAAACTTGGCTTATACTCGAGTATATAGGGTATTTGTTTTTCATTTTGTTGTCATAGAAATAGACTGAAAGAAAAAACACACTAAAATAATTTGTCTTCCAAAAGTTGTTAGAGCTGTGGTTGGATTGAAAACAGCATCCCAAGCCCCAAAAAAGAACCTACCAGTCTGCCTATACAATATGGCACAGACACCTGCTAAAAAGGGCGGGGGAGGCCTGCTCAGTAACCATTGAAGGGCATTGGAATGTTTTGCAATGGTCAATGCTCGCTTTCATTGCTATCGGTTAGGGAGTTTGAAAAACAGTAACAACCCAAAAACCTCACCGGGATCTAGTAGTTTTGTCTGTTCAACTACTCTACTCCGTCTCTACTCCGTCCTTTTCTACACTCTCTTCCCTGTCGGATGGGTGGCATCAAGGTCTCTCCAGATACTTCCACTTGAATGGAAACATCGCCGGACACGCGGCCCTTCTTACGAACCTCCACGCCTGTCATCTAGAAGACAAACGGGCCACACCTGGGATGCCTGCTGTTTGCTGGGTGGAGGCAAGCGGAGCCCTGGTGGCGCAGGGGTTACTTGTTGGCCTCGAGGTGGGCTGCTCAAAACCACCACAGGACAAAGATGAGGCCTGTTCCTGCCACCGAGATTCCGTGTGGGAGCCCCGCAGGGCCGTTCTCCTCTGTTCTGCAGGGTCGCTCTAAGGTAGTCTACTTCATTTCTCTGACTCTGGTTGGAATTTTATCAGCTGAGTATGGTAACATGAGCTACCTTCCAAGAACCAGAAATGAAAAATATAGTTAATAAACAAATGCAATTTGTTCTATAGACAAAAATTTCGGAAAATGTGGTCCTTGGCAGGCATAAAATAATAAAACTGGAACCAGAGAACCATGGACTTTCAGATTTGGAATCTTTGTATGAGATAACTTAGGCAACACCCTACTGAATCGGTAAGACTTCCCACTAAGTTTTTGAAGCCCTCACGTATTTCTCCTGTGCATGTTTACAACTATTTCATAAAATAATTCCCAGCAGCCTTGTTTTTCAACGGTTTTTGAGTGTTGAGAATACGAATAGAAAAGCTGCCTTCCATTCGCATGGCTAATATGTCAATTAATGAATGTCGTAAGTGCAGGCTAACTGAAATAACTGAATCCCCAGGTTACAGCAGCTACATCCTCAGCTGCTGACGCGAAGGCTCAAACCCACCAGCTGCTCCGGGCCAGGCTGCTTCTGTCACAGGTAGACAGATGCATGCCATCATGTCGACTCTGCCTCATCGCGACCCTGAAGATAGCACAGAACTGGCGCTGTGGGTTTCTGAAACGGTTCATCTTAACAGGAATGGAAAGCCTCATCCTTCCCCCGAGGAGCGGCGGTGGCTTCAGACTGCTGACTTTCTGGTTAGCAGCCTGGTACATAGTCCACTAGGCCACCAGACGTCCTGTCTATAAAGACTCAAGCTCTGGAAACGCTATGGGGTCGGCCCACTCGGTCTGTCCCCTACGGCTGCGATGAGTCAGCACTGAGTGGATAGCACACAACCATCTCATTACGGTTTCTGTGTGACTGAAAATGTCCGCACCAAAAATATAAATGACATCATAGTCCCCTTCTGACTGGAACCTCTTAATGGCAACTCCCCCAGGATTTTCATGCAGGCCAGGGAATCTGGAGTTATACAAGGTACGCAGGCAGTCAAGTGGGTCTGCCAACCAGGGAGGGAATGGATTCTGCTTAAAGGCATAGGGATGGGGGCAGAGCCTAGACAAGGAACCAGGACGATGCTGGGGGAACGTGGGGGCTTTGGGTGATGCACGTGGTAACATAACACGGTTTAATATGGTCCTCTGTTGTTTCTAAGCCCAGGACCAGGCAGCGTTTCGCTCTGTTGTGCACAGGGTCACGCTGAATTGGAACCTAGTGGACAGCACCACCCAACAACATAGCCATTTCATCATTCAAGTCAATCCTCCAGACAGGCAGGCAGGCATTCTTTCCATGCTTACACTTGATAAAGAAAAATCATCAAGCTAACGAATGGACGAGTCTCGACTAGGGCTCTGGACCTCACTCTTCTTCCAGTACCACACTGCGGTCTGCGCTTTTCCCCAGAGGGACTCGAAGGGCTCCTCAGATGGATTTCATTTCAAAATGCTGAATGCTATTTTTTCCCCAAATGCTCAGATGGCCATTCCAGACAAATGACATGTTAATTTTTACTTCAGCATAAACTATTTTCTGTGCAAATCTTGGATGAAAACATCTTCTGCCATTTTAGTGTAATTGAGGGCAACTTCCTTACAACCATATGACCATGATAGAGTACAGACAGTATTGCAAACTGCACTGAAAGTTGAGACTACGACTGTCAGCTGTGACCTGGTTGCATTATCACCCTCATAATAAACTATCTTGACAGCTTAAACCTATCTAGTTTACTCAAGCCAACAATTTTCTTTAAAACTGGTATTCTATCTATACAAAATTTTATTTGAAGATAGTTCCCATTGTTAAAAATGCCATATCACACAGGGATTGAAACTGAGAGAGATGAAGGAGTGTTCGCTATCGTGCTCCTATTTGTATTTGTCCAAAATCCATGTCATCAATTCAATCCTATTTAAGGGTAAGATGTACACTGTATAGGAGGCAGTCATCAAGCTTATCAGACACACGAAGGTCAAGATAATGTCTTTGCTTACATCTAGACCATGGGAAGAGACACATAAAAGATTTGCTTAACTATATTACACAAAGAATAACTATTTTATAATTTGTTATAACTAGAAAAAGTGCTGCCATTTCAATTTGTCATGTTTTCTATCAACATCCTCAAAAGTATTCTATAAAGATACACTCAAATCCATAGGACAAAGATCTAATGTCTACACAGAGTCCAAGAGGCCTGAGAGGAGACAGAAGCAGGGAATGCTGGGGCCTGGGACAGAGGGATTTGTATACCCCACCACAAAGCAACCAGACAAACAAAGCCCAACCCGCCACGGTGCCCACCAAACACACACACAGTCCATAGTCCACCTCTGCCCTGTCCACCAGTGACCCTCCTGGACTTACACCTGTAGCCTCTGCTCCCTCTTGCTCCCTGAGCCTGGAGCATTATGTCACTGAAGGCTCCTGCTATGACATGGGTACTTTTGTCACAAGCAGATCTGTCTACAATGACTTGGCTTTCTTTTCAAATTAAATATAAAACATGCTCCAAATTTCTTTTCCCTTTCATCATGTTTCCTTCCTTCTCTTCTTCTCTCGTTTTCTTCCCCTTCATGAAAACGGTAGTTTTCTTTCTTGATGAACCAGAGCCCTACAAACTTCTTATTTCTCCCGGTTGGCTGAAAATTCCAGCTGACGTCACCCACCTGCCCTGGTCTCCTTTCAGCGCTCAAGACCTCAGCGTAGAAGCTTCCACCTGAATTTGAACTTGCGGACAACACTGTGGATAACAAAATCGAGTGTTTCTGGCTCCGGATCCTAAATCAACTTAACGAAAATCTGATAACTTGGAATTAACACATAATTCCACATGCTGAGGAGTGCCATTTTGGAAAAAATCTCATCACGTTTATGGAAATTCACAAATGATAATGAACCATGTCTTCCGTGTTATAATTAATCCTAATACTTCTTTACATGGAACTCAGATTAAACTCTCAAACCATATTCTATCCTTTTTTTGAAAAAAAGGAAGTTTCAAATTAAGCATAAAAAAATACAGTTGTCTCCCCCCTTATCCATGATGTCACACTCTGTTATTCGGTTAGGGAGGGTCATATCTAAACTGTGTGCCCTCGTGAGTAACGCTATAAGACTGTGTGTACTCCTGCTCCGTCCAGGTGCTGCCTTCCTCCTCTGCCAAGGGGGGCGAGCCTGAGAACCCAGCGTGGCGAGCAGCTGCGCTGTGGCCTGCCAGCGTGGGATGTCTAACACTGTCTGCACAGGGCCGCCTGTCCCCTGGATGTCTAGGAGAAAACTGGGTACAGGTAATCCCCAGGTTATGCAAGAGATCAGTTCCTAACTGTCTTCAAGTGCCATCTCTAGGGCATTAGAACAGTGTATACAGTTCTAATTCACAGCCTGACCTTAGTGTGAAAACAAGCAGCTTTGGTGTGTGGGACTGCTAACCTCAAGGTTGGCAGTTCAAATTCACCAGTTGCTTCAAGAGAGAGAGATGAGGCCATCTGCTCCCATAAAGCTTTGGAAATATTGTAGAGTCACTATGAGTCGGAGCCACTCCACAGCATGCGGTTTAGTGTAAGAAAAGGAGTCCTGATGGTGCTATAGGTTAGGGGTTGTGCAACCTACCAGGTCAGTGGTTCAAACCTACCAGCCACCCCTCGGAGAGAAAGGAGGTTATCTGCTCCTGAGAAGATTCAGTCTTGGAAGCTGCATAGAGTCGCTATGGAAGCAACTGTGGCAATGGGCTTTAGGGTAGGAGATGCCTTGCGGCCTTGGCTGTGATGAAGTCTGGGCTGTGAGTTAGGGGTTGGTTGAATGGCTTCCAAGTGGGGGCAAATCTACATCACGTTCAAGGGCAAGCAGGACTCACTTGGCTGATGATAGGATCACGGTGCGCTCGTCGGCGCTGAGGATCGTTTGAAGATGAGTTTCAACCGAGTCTTCATAAATGGTCATCTGGAAAAAAGAGAGAAAAGCAAAAAAGGCTAAACACCCACCCTATATTGTCATTTCTGGCATTTATACCGCTCAGTTGTTACTGCTCCACACCTGGGACAATTTCCTGTGAGACCCAGCAATGGTGATAATGAAATATCTAAAAGGAAGCCGGTGGAGGATAGATAAATATTGTCTTTTGGTGAGAGATTCGTGCACTGCGGGTAGGAGTACAGATTGGCACAAACATTTCAGAAAACTGCTCGGGAGGATCCGTATACCCAGAAACCCCAACTCTCCACCATTGCGTGGGTTCTGATCGCAACCCAGGGCTGTCAAGACTGCACGTCTGTATGGAAGCAGACAGCCTCATCTCTCTCCTGCAGAGCACCTGGTAGCTTTGAACAGCTGGCCTTGCAGCCCAATGTCTAACACCCACGCCAGGAGGGTTCCTTGAACACATGCATACGTACTGTAACCCACTAGCTGCCATCTAATCACCACTGACTCATGGTGACCCAAGTGTGTCAGTGTAGACATGTGCGTCACGAAGGCTTCAAGGTCAGCCACGTTGGAAGTAGATCACCAGACATTCTTGTGAGGCGCCTCTGGGTAGACTCAAACCTTCAGCCTCTCAGTGAGGCGTGCGAACCATTTGAACCACCCCGGGACTCCAGACATCCTATAGGACCCAGCAGTTTACCTGACACTGTGTACACTCACAAGGAATGCAAATACAGCTTGACCAAAAGCAAGTTCTAGAATGTTCACAGCCGAATCCATTCGATAGTGGCATGGACAACAAATTTCAGGACATGCATGCCAAGGGAATGCTTTGGGGTAATGAGAATAACTGATTAACCACGGACACCTCAATACAGATGGCTCTCACGCGTACTCGGTTCAGGAAAAGGATCCAGAAACAAAAGTACACACCCGGAACACTTCCAGCTTATCCAACGCAGAAACAGGCAGACGAAAGTGAGCCACAGGAAGAAGCTCAGGACAGTAGTGACGGGGCGGTGGTGGTGGGGTGGGTGGTGGTGGGAGTGAGGATGGTCACTGAGAAGGGCCACCCTGGAGTCTTGGGAGGGCTGATGATACCGCCCCTCAATTGCGGGGCTGACTACACAACTCTATGAAGATTCTCTGAAATCCTGGTTCACTACACTTCACAAAAAGGCCCGTCAGGCTGCAGGTACCCATAAGACCATGACGTGACCAACCATTCCTTTCCAATAATGACACAACTGAAATGCCCACAGTGCAGTGAGGACCTTCGTTCTCTCTGACGAGAACCTGGGCATCCCAAGGAGGCCTGGTGGCCCAGTGGCTGCAATCTGAAAGGTCAGCAGGGGACCCGAGCAGCTGTTCTGAGGGAGAAAGAGGAGGCATTACTTGGATAATGACTTCAGCCTCGGAAACCCTCGGGGGCAGTTCTACTCTGTCCTACGGGGTCACTATGAGTCAGAATCAGGTCCACGACAGCAGTGGGTTTGGATTTGTTATGTGCTAGCATCCTTTGAAAGAACACATCTTCCTCATGTGTGGGAGTGGGTGCAACACACAAACAGCACCATAGTCAGAGTTGTCACTACTTCCACGCCACACAGCTCAACATTTCCCGGCCGAAGCCGGCTGCTCTCTACAGGCTAGCCTGGGCTCTTGCCTGGCTCACACGCCCTTCCTCGGCTGCCCACCACTGGGCCCTGTTTAGTTCGACGGAAGATTCAGTCAGCCTCCTTTCTGGACTGGCCTCTCCCCACAGGAACCCCATTTCTAATTCATGTGATCAAGTCCATCACTAGCTGGTCAGAATCTTACCCCTCTAAATTTCTATCTTATTTCCCTCAAAGGCAGGACACATGGAGAAGGAACTTTATATAGGAAAAAAAAAGTCAGGAACCCCAAGGTGACACACAATAGTGTACTGGCCACATTTTAAACTAAAATCAGGAAAAAGAAAACACAGCTGGAAGGAAAGCAGAGAGGGTATTGTGGGAAAAGACTGGTTTTCTTTTCCTTACAGAGTGGGGGGTGCCACAAAGCCAAAGAAGGTAGGGAGAAAGATTATAAACTATAACTTGTATCACTTGAATCAATATTTAACTTTTTTGTCCATTTAAAAATCCAATGATAAAAAAGGCAATCATTTTCCTCCAAGGGAATAAAATGATGTCTATGCCCCAGAATGAAATTATACACGTCATCTACTGTGCAATCACTGATCAAGGTTAGGAAGGTAAGTCATAATAGCTGCATTTTTTATTGTGTTCTACTGATAACAGTTGCTACCACGCCGATTCTGACTCATGGTGAGCCATCATGCCAGAGTGGACCTGTGTGTCAGAGAGGATTTGCAACACTTGATTTGGGGAGATTAGGTTGCCAGGCCTCTCTTTCAAGATGTCTCTGGGAAGGCTTGGAGTAAGTTAGCAACACAGAGTGGTACAGCTGCTATACCACCCACGGACTTTTACAGTGTGCCAAACACAGAGAAAACACTACGTATAGATTGAATGCTTTAATTCTTCTGTTTAACAGCTGATGGATGGAGTGCCGGGTCAATCAGCAACCATCGGCTGATCTACTAGACGCCTGTGACTGTGGTCTGTGATCTGGCGGGTGGTGTGGCTGTTGGTGTCTGGGAGTTGGCTCCAAACCACAGGGGGCCCCTGTACAACAGAAGAGGACCCCACCCGAGCCAGCACCCTCCCACCACTGTAGCCACGTGGCAGCCACTGGATCCATCCATCGCCTCCATGGTCTTCCTCTTTTTTTGCTGACGGAGCATGATGCCCTTTTCCAGGGACTGGACTCTTCTCACGACGTGTGCAAAGAAGATGCGACAAAGTCTTGCCTCTTGCCGTCCTTGCCTCTAAGGAGCGTTCTGACGGTATGTCCTCCGAGACAGATCTGCCTGCTCTTTGGCAGCCCATGGTTCTTTCAGTATTTTTCACTCAGCACCATAATTTAAATGCATCACTCCTTCTATGTCTTCCTTATTCAATGTCCAACTTTCACATGCATAGGAGGTGCGTGAAAATAGCATGGCTTGGGATCAGGTGCACTCTCGTCCTGAAAGTAACTTGTTTGTAACACTAAAGAGGTCATGTGAAGCAGATTTGCCCAATGATTGACATATATAAAACATGTCTAAAGTATGTGTCGAAATAAATAATATATATAAATACAGATGGCCCCTGGAAAACGCACATAATGTAATTTAAAAGCAGTAAGAATCTGGCTTTCAAGAAATACACAAGGCCAGAAGGCTTTAATGTGAAAATGTCCAATCTCACAAAAGGGGCTGATATTCGGTAAAAAATGAACAAGAAGAATTCTTTGTTAACGCTTGACTTTGTACCAGACAGTTGGCAGCTCCAGGGGAATGAATCATACACGGGGTTTGATGGTACACATGACAGTAGCAAGACAATGGGAGCGGAGAGAAACGACAGAGGTATTCAGTAACAGAGGGTCAGCAGAAACGAGGACGGCTGAACTACCCACAAGATGCACCCTGGGCTCAAACAGCCACAGTCGCACAGCTGGGACTGGGCCTGCTTTCCTTCAGCTGTACAAAGAACTTTCTGGATATGTACCACCACATTTGCATCATTTTAAAGCAAACTGGGAAGACAATAATTTTACAATCATGTGTACTGGAGTTCAAAAGGAAACTGTATCTAAAAATACTTGGCAGCGGGGGGTGAAGGCGAGGGAGGGCAGAGACACTAGAGAGATGTGCACACCTCGGAATGCTCAGATCAGATCAGCAGGGCAACATTTACCCACAAAGGCCAGAGGGTTAGGAAAGCCGGAGGAATGGAGCCCGGACACACAGGGTGGGCGTAGAATAAGTGGTGGTTTAATGAGGGGATTACAATGAATGAGATGAAACAAGATGTGTTAGGAAATTTGAATGTAAAACGGATGGTCTGCTCTGTGAGGCTCACCTCATTTACAATAAAAAGTTTGGAAAATATACACGTGTTAAGGGGGCTTCCAAACGTTGATGGAATGGAACTTTCCGTGAGCCTTTTGAAGCCCCCTGATCTAAATGCTAGAAAGTCTCTTGGGCCATAGAAGGGCTATGATGCCTACCTGTATTTAGCTTACTTGATAGTGTGGTAGTGCTTCTGGTGAGCTGATTCAGACTTACATCATCCCACCGAACAGAGAGCCCCGTGGCATCCTCGGCAAAAAACCTCACCGCCATCGAGCCATTTTAGGACAGGGTGGATCTGCCCCCCCCACCCCCCTCCGCAATTCTTCATGGCAGTAGAGAGCCTCTTCTTTCTCCCATGGAGCAGCTGGTGGTTTCAAACTGTTGACCTTGCAGTTACTAGCCCGACCTGTACCCAATGAGGCCACCAGGGCTCCTTTCCTAGGCAGACAGGCAGGTCTTCCTCCCGTGGAGCCTCTGCGTGGGTTTAAAGCACTAGTCTTTCAGCTAGCAGCTGAGTGCTTCAGCACTCCGGCACTAGTGATCCGTACCCTACGAGGAAGCGGCTTCTACTCTGTAAAGATTCCAGTTCTACTCTCTGCCCTGCAGCGTGGCTCTGTGTCAGAATCAGCTCCCTGGCAGCGGGTTTGAGTTTCAGTAGGAAAGAGAACAGAGGGGCTGTCAAGACCAAAAGGTCACACATAGGAAGGCTTTCTCCTAGTGCCAGTCAGCGGGGTGGGCCCAAGCCCTTTTCTGCAAAGGTTAAGTGCTATTAAGAAGCCAAAACTAGACAGTTTCATTTAAAATCTGTTTATAGGAAACATAGAAGCTTCCTCCTATAGCTACAACTGGGCCTTTACTTAGTGATCGCATCCATGTGATAGAAGCAAACTATCTACCGTTTTTTCATATATTAGGAAACAGACACTTCTGAAATCGGGAGACAAAAGAATTCTCCCTTCATCTTTGTGAGGAGAAAAGCAGTGACGTTTATAAAAACACCATCGGCAGAAAGGCCCAATGCTACAAAGACACACTCTACGTAGTCATATCAATTCACGTTTAAAAGGTGCTGCAAGAAACAGATTGGCTTTCGAAAGCGGGGTATCTCCGAGTGGTGGGACCAGATGTTATTTACATTACCTTTTGGTGGAATTTGATATTTTCCGTAATTTTAGAGGCAGCGGGTGGGGGTGGGGTGGGCGGGCGGGGGTGTAAGTTAAGAAAACGGAATCCGCTCCTTGGAGGAGCAGCTCCATGCTCTGGTTACCTTTCCCTCTCTCGGTGTCGACAAGAGCGTGATTCTCTTAAGGACAAAACAAAGATTTCCACTGTAACAGCCACAGCTGACTTCCCTAGGGGGGAGACATGGGCCATCATAGATCAAATGGTCTTAATGAGTCCAAGAGAATCCTTTGAGAAGGAGGCTCTGTTTTAAATCTCCGAAGGCTTTGAGGTTTAATCGGAAGGCGGAATCTTAAGACACGTCTAAAAAGTCCTTTCTGGTCTGTAGCAGGCCAGCAAGGAAGGGGGCTCTCTTTCTCCCTTTATCTCGTCTTGATTCACAGGCTTCCCCAAGATCTGTCCTGATGTACTTTCAGAAGTGCCGGTAATGCAGTAAGGAACCACAGAATACTCTGGCCGTAGCCTTGGCATGCTTGGAGATGTTTAAGGAAGCTGGCTTAATACCCAGCAATCAAGTTGGAGTGTGAGTACAGGCCAGCGGACACTGTCATCAGTTGGCCCTGTGACAGGTGGCCTTCCTTGGATCCTTGGTGGTACAGAGGAAGCAGGCAGGTGGAATATTCAAGAAGGACCAAGGGTAGGTTGCCACCCTTCTGCACTTTCTGGCATTGTGGTGGTGTGTGTGTTGCTGTGGTACTGGAAGCTATGCCGGTAGTATTTCAAATAGCAGCAGGTGACCCATGTTGGACAGCTTTCAGTGGTGTTTCTAGACTAAGACTAGGAGGAAGGGGCCTGGGGATCTACTTCTGAAAACCAGCCAATGAAAACCCTATGGATGACACCCCACCCTCACCCCCATATAATGTCCAATATAGAGCTGGAGGAAGAGCCCCCTAGGGTGGAGACATTCAAAGCACACAGTGGCCACAACAATGGACTGGGGTATACCAATGATTACAAAGACAGCGCAAGAGTAAACACCACTTAATTTGTTGTAATGTGGTCAGAGCTGGTTAACTGGCTCGAAGGCAACTAACATCAAGGGCAGGAGAAGGGCAATTCACATGTCTGCTGCTATACACACACTGACTGCCTCCCTTAATCTAGAACAGGGTGGCCTCACTTTAGAGATGGAGCAACCACAGCACACCAAGGCAAAGGGCTTGCCCAGTGTGGGGGGCCCAGGAAATCTGCTAAGCTGGAGCTGGGGGGTTCTTTTCTTTGGGGAGAGGACTTGACATTGCCAATCACAACCAAGATAATTTGCAAGAAATTAGGCCAACAGGTGATCGTGTTTTATGTGTAAGCCTTCTTATTTTTTTATGGATTTATCCCCATTTCAAATGATAAATAGGTAAAAGGTTCTTACATAAAACCCTGACGACTGTCCTGGAGGTCCCGGAAGTAGAGGAGCTTTTGGTGGCAATTTGAGTTCATATGTCATTATACTCCACCTGAAGGGGAAAAAATTATTTGGTATTTAAAAATCCTTTTAAATTTTTATCAGTTGACTTAGTTCTCTCTTTATACACACATGGGGTTAAGTTAAAAAACAATACTGCTTCTACTGCTCCAGTTCATATACATGCATGGGTTTGTTCCTAATCAAATGTGTTTAAACAGGCCAACCATGGGTGGCCGCAGACAGGTGCTCTTAGGAACACACGTGTCTCATTAGGGTGCCTTCAAAATGAGATCCAACCAAAACAATGGCTTCCCAGAATATCTGCTGGGCCAGTTTAATTCAGAACAGAGAGGTCAGCTTAGAAGGTTATGGTGACTGTGTTTGGGGAGACCAAAGGGCTAACCTTGAAGATTTTCTCGAAGGACACAGGACAATCACGAGTGCTTATCAGAACGACACGGAAAACTGCAGTGGTAAGAAAGAGGCTAAGAAAGTTGCACTCAGGGATTCTTTTCCCGCCACAACACCCTTGAAGTACAGCAAGCACTGTCCTCAGGGAATCTTGCGGGGAAACTTTATGCCCTCACCCTACAGCCCTGACCTTGCCCCTGCAAACAGTTTAGATTCAGTACATTTGTAAGCCCAAACCCACGGCCGTGGAGTTGATGTCTGACTCCACGAGACTCCACGTAGGGCTCGAGGCTGTGGATTTTCACAGGGACGTTTTACTGGAAGCCTCATCTCCCTTCCAAGGACTGGCTGTTCTGAACTGCCAACTTCGCAGCGAGGGGCCAAGATGGGACCAACCCAACCCACTGCGATCGAGTCAATTCTGACTCCCAGTGGCTCTGCAGGGCCGAGCAAAACTGCCCCCGTTGCTTTCTAAGGCTGGAACTCTTTATAGGAGTAGAGAGCCCCATCTTTCTCGTGTGGAGCAGCTACTGGTTTTGAACTGCCAACCCTGCAGTTAGCAGCTCAACATGTAAGCAATTATACCACCTGCATACTGCCTGTGAAAAGGGAATCAGTCAGCACGTAACAGACACTCACCAAAATCTCTGAACTGAAAATTAGCAAAATACCTCATCTTAAATTACAAAAGCAAGCAAGCATGGAATTAAACAGGAAATATCAGTAGATGTAATACGTAATTGATGCAAATTTATTTCAATTAGCTGTAAATACTACTTTCCAACCAAGCATCTGAATCTCTCCAAATCACTTGGCGGGGAAAGTAATCAACTTAGGGACAACTCGCATCTTCTTTCCTAAACAATAATTTCAGAACTGGGAAAAACAACTGTGTCATTATTATAGAGTATCAGGATAGGAACACAAGTTGTTCAAAGACACAAAGCATGTATGATCACTGCAATCGCACAATGCAGGCTTTGTAGTCACAGCCGATGCCAGATTAGCATTTTTCCACAGACTTTTTGAAGACTCCTCATAAGTTATGCGATGCACACTACATAGTTAGTTAAAATTACGATTCCACTCTTACAATGAAAAGGCAACAGAGAGATGTATATTTGAACACAGCCTTTCATTCATTCATTCGTCCAGGCATTACTTAGTGAATGCTTCTACGGAAGGGCCACTAGTCTAAGGCCTGGAGGTCACCGTGGCATATAAGGCTTCCCTCGAGAAGCTTCCATTCTACTGAACGAAGCAGAAAAGCAAAGCAGAGAACTAACTTTTGGTAAAAATATCTCTGCTTAAAGGACAGTGGAAGGAAGGAGAAAGAAGACACCCAAGCTCTTTGCACCTTCCATCCTGCCACCCCTGCCGCCCGCAGGGCATGACTGAGCTGAAGGAACAGGACACTTCAGCATGAGGAAGTCAGGTGAGACGCGCGGGCAAGGCGCCAGCTAGGCAGAGTGAAAGTATGCATGTTAAAGGGGAGCGGCTGCTACTTTCAGAAGAGACCTGCCACTAGGATCTGGGTCCTGTTTACAGGGCCCGTTTTATGACTTATAACTTCTGTGACCTTCACCAGGTAACCCCCCCACCTCACCCCCGTGTGTCTTTTTCTCTGTAAGAGAGACGATAGTTGACTACTATTCTTCTCAAGGAGCCCCGGTGGTGTGGTGGGCTACCTGCTGGGCTGCTAACTGCATCCTGAGAAAGACAAGGCGTTCTCCTCCGGAAAAAGGTTAGAAACCACAGGGCGCAGGTCTACTCTGTCCTATAGGGTCACTATGGTGGGGCCAAAATGACTATGGCAGTGAGATTCTTATCCCAAGGGAACCCTCGTGGTGCTTTTGGTTATGAGCATTAGTCTGCTAACCACGAGGTCGGTGGTTCAAACCCACCAGCTGCTCTGCTCCCCTACAGACGTACATTCTTGGAACCCTGTAGAGATTGGGTAGCTACGAGTAGGAATTGACTTGGTGGCAGTGGGTTTAGTGCTGATTTTTACTCTCATTTTTTCCCCAGATCTCCTTTACATCCTTCAAAAGTTGTCATAAGGTTTTTCTTACCTTAAGAGTGTTGCTCAAGCAAATTAACACGCATTAACAAGCTTATCTAATTTAAAATAATGTTTCAAGATTTCTTTAAGAACATCTTTACAAAAAGGAAAGCAGCGAACGAGCAGTTTGTGCCGAGGGGCCCGAAGGCCTGGCTGCCCATGCTGGCTAGAGCAGAGCTGGGCTTGGCGGCCTGATGGGAAGCAGCAGCTTGCCACGCCTCTCTTTGGTGGGGTGGGGCTGCGGCCAGCTCACTAACTGTCTGTGCCAACCATGGACTCCTGTGGGGTGCAAAAGGGTGTTTCCCTAGGCTGTCTCCCCCAAATATATGCCAAACTTAGGATCCTGCTTGTGTCACATGGTAAATGACTGTGCACTTGGAGGTCAGCACAAGCAGCTTAGAGGTTATTCTCCCTGAGGGTTATCAGGCATCTAGAGCAATCAGACTGTATAGTCTGTCCCACCCTAAGGTGGCCCGCTCCCTCCTGATAAGGATAGTGGATTGCTTTCCTGAAGGAGAGCTCAGAGTAGGTCAAGCCAACTCATGGAGGACCAAGATTAGGCTGCCATCTTGAATCAAGGATCTGTCCGTCTTGTCACATGTGCACCCCTAGTCCCCTCTCTTCCTATTGCGTGTGCACCCCTCGATCGTCCCCCTCCCATTGCTGTACTGCCGGTACAACCCCTTTCTGTGACATATGTGGTTCCCTGTAATCAAGGGGGCTTGCACACCCCTAAGTATATATAGGCCTTGATTAGAAATATAGTCTCTCCTTCTCCCACTCTTTGCGCGGACCTGGCTGTTGAGATCATGGCCGCCTGGGAGGTGAGCATGCTAGCACGATATGTGTCTGTCTCCTTTATTTTATCTTCTCTCCTACCCTCCCTATCCTCTATGATGTCACAGTAATCTTTATACATTATCACTGTACAATTGTGGCTACGGACCCTGATCTTGTCAGAGGCTGGTGACTGTGACTGACTCCCCACTGCAAATAGCTTTTCTGAATTGGTAAATGAAACATGAGAAATCTACAGAGTCTTAAATTTCTAACCATGAACTATGATCATCTAATGATAATTCCCGTGGTTTTAACCGTGTGTGTGTGTGTGTGTGTGTGTGTGTGTGTGTGTGTGTGTGTGTGTGTGTGTGTGTGTGTGTCTGTGTGCGCTTTTTCTTGCAAGCCCACATCAAGGTATCT